CCAAGTTGTTTTTATGTGTGCTAAATTCATATAAGTTTGCATTTAGTTTGTATTAAATGTCAAATTCTCATATTTCTTAGCAGTTTAGATGTCTGCCCTTGTCTTTCCGTGGGAGGCCTGCAGCACAGGGATCGGCGCACAGCAGGCCCAGGCTGGTGCCAGTGCTGGGAGTTTGTCTGGACTCTCGAAGCTTCTGATTCCTCATCTCCACGGTGCAGGAAACCAAGGACCCACTTCGAAGGCTCGTCCTGAGGGATCTGTTAAGGCCGATGGAACTCTCACACGGTCAAACTGGCTGTTGTAATTATCATTATTTTGGGGAAATGTTCATCTCTGCTCTTGCTGGTTTGTCAAAATTCTTCATATGCTTAGGGTATTAATTTTAGGATACAAACATTTTTATTTTGTGGTTGATCATTTTTTTAGTAACTTTGTGGTGATTAATCTTAATTTTTAAAATTTTGTTAGTTAAATCTAGCAATGCCTTTTTTAATAGTTTTTGGGCTGTAGTGTTAGACTAATAGAGCCCTGCACTGTTTTATATTTATTTTAAAAGCCACCTAACCTTCCCTCCTCATACCATATTTTAATGGTGTTGCTTATTTTTACAGTTAAATAATTGAACTGGAATCTGTTTTGACATAAGATACAATGTGAGGTCCAGCTTGAAATCCAGATGATAAGCCTGTTGACCTACTGTCACTTTTGAATTAATTTATTTCTTCCCTCCAGTTGACAATACTACTTTTGTGGGAAAGTAAAATAGCTCAGCCTCAAAATATATTTCTTTGACGTATTTCAAGATGCCTAATTCAGAGAGACTGGAAAACATGCTTGGCTAGAAGGCTGTCTCTTTGCGGAAGGAAATTGACATCTCCGCATGCCGCCGGCCAGGCTCCTGTGAGGCCCCTCCTCTGGTACCATCTATTCTTTCTGGGGGCAGCTGCAGGTCACCTGAAGTGCTTTCATCTGTGTACAAGATGTCTCTGCTTAACTTTACCTTCTGACTTCCTTCTTTCACCTGTGACAACACCCCCAACCCCAGAGCTTCAGGGAAACCTGGTCTCAGGCCACTGTGCTGGGGCTTGGACCTCCCCCAC